GGTGATATTATTACTGTAATATTACTGTAATATTATATTACTGTTATATTGCAGTAATATTACTGTAATACTACTGTATATTATAGTTATATTACTGTTATATTATAGTTATATTATATTATTACTGTTATAGTAATAAGTAATTAAGTGTAACACTGTGAATGTTTCAGTAGTTTATGTCAGTTTTTGATCTGAGGTCCAATATGTCTGTAGTGTTTCATATTTTATTGGTTTTAATGAATTTCTTTGTATGATATTAATATGAAACCTATTATGTTCTATAAACTCTTTAATCATACAGATTGTTGAAGTTATTATACAAACCAGATGTGAAATGTGAGCATTTAATTTTTATCATGTTTTCTACAGCAATAATGTTATTTCTGTTATCAGTTATATTTAAATATATAATTTCGTTTCTATAATATTTCCATAATGTGTCTACTATAATTTAACTATATAATTATTATGATTATTATTGTTATTATTATTATTATTATTATTATTATTATATTATTTATTTCTAATAAAAATGTTTTTATGTTTCTATAATATTTATTATTTATATTATTGTTAGATAATATTTTTGTAATATTTCCACAATATTTTAATATTATATATATTTATGATATATCATATTTTTGTGGGTTCAGGGCCACTTTAACCTGATTGGGGCCCCTGTGAGGGCCCGTTGTTCTTTTGTTGTTGTTCCCGTTGTTGCTCAATCACTGAAATAAATGTTGCTTCCAGGAATACTAAATATAATAATTAATAATAATTCAAATAAATATCTGCTGTGATAGATGATTAGATGATTTCATACAATCAATGTGTTTATTATATCAGATAGATAAAATAATGTTTAAGTTTGTTTACATTCTGGTTAGATGTGCCAATAATATTGTTTGATTATTATTAACAGTATTTGTATATATTTTACTATTTATGTGTGTAGTATTCTTGTACTCACAGTCTAAATGTGCTCTAACTGTATTCAGACTCTTTAATGAAACATGTTGAATGTTTTTACAGTGTGTTCCTCTGCTGTAATCTATTGACTTTTTGTAATGGACTCCGGAATCATCCACAGAAACAGACACAATGTAGTAACTGATCTGAGATCTGAGAAGAAATATTGATCCGTTTGTTTGTACACAGGACGTCCGTCCATCCGTCTGTCTCGTCATTTTATATCAGATGAAATAGTTTTTGTTCAGACTGCAGGTCGGAAATATTTCTTTTATCATCAGTAGCTGCAAGTTGAGTTTTTTCTGTTTATTTCTGCAGTTTGACTCATTTTAGCTGAAATGCAACCACAGTTCAATCAGTCCAGCATTATGTCAGGCACAGTGCATGATGGGAAGACGTCCCGTTTTACGGATGTTTTAACTCTGTTTTTCTTTGATATTCTCTTATTTGGCTTGACGTCTGTCCGTCATGCGTCTTCAGTCCTTCAGTAGTAGGATGTGTTCAGGTTCAGTACTGAGTGTAGGCCACCTGTGGTTTGGGACTGACCAGTGAAAGGGCCAGTGGGAGCCAGTGAGCGCTGCTTGATTTTGACTTTACGAATGCATAAAATAAACGTGTTGTCTGTGTCTCTTGCAGCTGGTGGCCCAGGGTCAGTTCAGGGTGCTGAAGGTTCCTCTGGGCTTCATTAAGGCCTTAGAATGGGTGAGTTCATCAGACCAACACCCGTACCACAAACACATCCTCTGTCAGTTGGACAGCAGCGACCTAAATCAGCTGCAGATATCCACCTAACATCAGAGTCATTGGAGACTCTATTCTCTATTCCATTCTTCAGCAGCAGCCAACAATACAAACAATACAAACAATAAAACATAAGATCAGTCTGTATGCAGACGACACATCGCTGTTCTTCCTAAATGTATCTCTTGTCTGAATGAAC